TCGGGCCAAGCACGCGACAGCCCCATCCAAACCCCGCACAAGCGTAGGTGGGCCCCTAGACAATCCGGGCAGTGTTCATGAGAGCCGGGAGAAACGTGATAACAAGAGGTGTCGAATTTGACGACTCGGAAGGGCTAGTCCACAATGGAAGACGAAAGCTGTCACGTGTGACCCATCCTGCGCATCCTACGCCTAGACGGCCGCGTAGAGCCTCCAGGTGCCCTCGAACTACCCCACATGAGCGTAGGTTAAGCCCAATTGAACCTAAGCAAGGCGCAAGAGAAGGGCGAGCGCCCGCAAAGATATTTTAGCCAAACGGCTTCCGGAATATTTTGGCCAAGCGGCTCGGCGTCCGACGCCGCGCAGAGGTCGACAATATGCGGCGGCACGTTTGAAGCGATTTTAGCGTTCTCATTTGTTTGGCTTCCGACGGCCCAGAAAGGTCCAACAGGCCCCCAATATGGCCCCAAAACAGCCCAAGAGGCGCCCAAGAAGGCCCCAAGACTGCCCAAGAGGGCCCCAAGATTGCCTAAGAGGCCTCCAGGGAGGTCCCTAGAGGGTTCCAAGACGGCCCAATAGACATTCAAGACTGCCCTGGACCGCCCCAAGACTGCCCCAAGGCGGCCCAGAGAGGCCTCAAAGACGGCCTCCGCAGGCGTCAGACGACAGAAGACGGCCCAAGAGGCCCCGAGAAGCTCCCAAGAGGCCCCCAAGAGGCACTCAGGAGGCCCCCGAGAGGCCTACTTCCTCCTCCTCCTCCTCCTCCTCCTCCTCCTCCACCTTTTGCTCCTGCGTCTAATCCTCTCCCTCTTCCTCCCCCAAGTGTTCCCCAGGGGTTTCCACAACGGCTGTGGGAACACATAGCCCAATACCTTGGACAAACTTTGGCCCAACGTTTGGCCACATAAACGTTTCCAATAAGGCAAGGGGGCGGTGGTGATTCGCATTAGGCGTCTTCAATAGAGACAAGAGGTGTCACAAGAGCTGCGCTGGCACGGTGGCGGGGCATGCCGCAGACAGCTGAATATAAAAACGGTGTTCGTACCTTCTCTGATATCACGAGAGTCCTGAGCCAAATCCAGTAGGTGGGCCTCAGGGGCGCACTTGGGCTGTTTCGGGGCGTCTTCAATAGAGACAAGAGGTGTCACAAGAGCTGCGCTGGCACGGTGGCGGGGCATGCCGCAGACAGCTGAATATAAAAACGGTGTTCGTACCTTCTCTGATATCACGAGAGTCCTGAGCCAAATCCAGTAGGTGGGCCTCAGGGGCGCACTTGGGCTGTTTTGGGCGCGTCTTGGGCCGCCTTGGGGCTCTCTTGGGCCGTCTTGGGGCCCTCTGGGGCGCCTCTCCGGCTGTCTTGGGGTAGTATTGGGGGCTTTCGATGTCGTCAAGAAGTGTACGACAGCGAAAACAATTGATATGGTAAAAATATACGTTTCACGAAGGGAATGGGGCTATTTTTGCAATTTGGAGATCTCTTCGAACGCGTCTTGGAGGCCTTTTGGGGCGTCTTGGGGGCTTCTGAAGCCGTCTGGAGGCAATGTTGGGCGTCTTGGGTGACCTTTGGGCGTATTAAATCCTTTCTGGTAGCTTTTTGTAAGCCTCAGGGGCGCACTTGGGTTGTTTTAGGCGCCTCATCGGCCGTCTTGGGGCTCTCTTGGGCTGTCTTGGGGCCCTCTGGGGCGCCACTTAGGTTGTCTTGGGGCGGTCTTGGGAGCCTCTGATGTGGTCAAGAACTATACGTCAGCGAAAACAATTGAGGTAGTAAAAATATACGTTTTGCGAAGGGAATGGGGCTATTTTGCCCTTTTGGAGATCTCTTCGGGCGCGTCTTGGAGGCCTTTTGGGGCGTCTTGGCGGCTTCTGAAGCCGTCTGGGGCGATGTTGGGCGTCTTGGTGCGACCATTGGGCGTCTCGGGTCGCGTTTGGAACGTCCCGAGTCCTTTCTGGTAGCCTTTTGTGGGCCTCAGGGCCGCACTTGGGCTGTTCTGGGCGCCTCTTGGGCCGTCTTGAGGCTCTCTTGGGCTGTCTTGGGGCCCTCTGGGGCGCCTCTTGGGCTGGCTTGGGGCTGTCTTGGGGGCCTCCGGCGTCGTCATGAACTGTACGGCAGCGAAAACAATTGATGTAGTAAAAATATACGTTTTACGAAGCGAACGGGGCTATTTTTGCCTTTGGGGGATCTCTTCGGGAGCGGTTTGGACGCCTTTTGGGGCGTCTTGGGGGCTTCTGAAGCCGTCCGGAGGCAATGCTGGGCGTCTTAGAGCGACCTTTGGGTGTCTCGGGTCTCTCTTGGAGCGTCTTGGGGCTCTCCTGGCGTTTTCTAATGGCATTTTGTGGGCATCCGGCGCCTCCAGAGCCCCCGGTCCCCACATTTGCGGTCGTGGTCCCGGCCCCGGGCCCCCGGACCAGGTGCGCCGTTATATGTATACACACCCACACATACATAACCACATACACATGCGCATGTGCATGTACCTAAACATATTTATATAGATATACCATACACACAGCCACATACATATACAAACACACATACGTAAACAGACACATGCATATACATATACATGTTTTTGTACACAAAATGCATGGATATGTGCATATGGAAAACATGCGTATACATGTGCATAGACATATACATTTACATATGCAAATGCAGCTAATATATGTATGTATATACATATAAACATGTACACCACATATACATGCCTGTACATATACATCTACATGACCGTTCGGCCCCCTCACTCTAACATAAAAAGCAGACATATACATATCAGAGTGAGGGGGCCGAACGGTCATTCACTGTCCCTGGGTGCGTGGTTGAGGTGGAATTCCGCGGTGCGGATTCGTGTTGTTGTTGCTGCTGTTGTTGTTGCTGTTGTTGTTATTGTTGTTGTTGTTGGTGTTGTTGTTGGTGCTGTTGTTGTTGGTGTTGGTGTTGTTGTTGTTATTGTTTTTATTGTTGTTGTTGGTGGTGGTGTTTTTGTTGTTGGTGTTGTTGTTGTTGTTGTTGTTGTTGGTGTTGTTGTTGTTGTTGTTGTTGGTGTTGTTGTTGTTGTTGTTGTTGTTGTTGTTGTTGGTGTTGTTGTTGTTGTTTGTTGTTTGTTGTTTGTTGTTTGTTGTTTGTTGTTTGTTGTTTGTTGTTTGTTGTTTGTTGTTTGTTGTTTGTTGTTTGTTGTTTGTTGCTTGTTGTTTGTTGTTTGTTGGTTGTTGTTTGTTGTTTGTTGTTTGTTGTTGTTTGTTGTCGTCGTCCACCCGCAACCCGCCCCGCGACCCACCCGCGACCCAACCCGCGACCCACCCCGCGACCCACCCGCGACCCACCCGCGACCCACCCGCGACCCACCCGCGACCCACCCCGCGACCCACCGCGACCCACCCCGCGACCCACCCGCGACCCACCCCGCGACCCCCGCCCACCCGCGACCCACCCGCGACCCACCCGCGACCCACCCGCGACCCACCCGCGACCCACCCGCGACCACCCCGCGACCCACCCGCGACCCACCTTCGACCCAAACCACGTTCAAGGTGGTACAAACCACCATTTTCTGCGCCTGCGGCTGGTTTTTTTCTGCATTCCTTCCAGGTGGAGAGCCCGCGACCCACCCCGTGACCAACTTGCGACCAACCCGCGACCCAAACCACGTTCAGGGTACAAACCACATTTTTCGGCGCCTGCGGCGGGCATCTTGTGCACTCGTTTCAAGTGGAGAGCCCGCGGCCCACACGCGACCACGTTCAGGGTACAAACCAATTTGTTCGGCGCCTGCGGCGGGCATCTTTTGCATTCGTTCCCAGTGGAGAACCCGCGGCCCACCCGCGACCCAAACCACGATCAGTGTACAAACCCATTTTTTTTGGCGCCTGCGGCGGGCTGCTTTTGCATTCCTTCCAGGTGGCGGTGGAGAGCCCGCGACCCACCCGCGACCCAAACCACGTTCACTGAACAAACCAATGCCGCACAAACGCGGCGACGGATTTTTGCATGCCGTCTGAGCTCGCAAGGACCTCTGCAAGCCCCGCGCATCCACACCAGCCCGTCCAGCAACTTTGCCCTGGCGAGTTGCCTTGATCAGAGAAGTCGGGGAGCATAAAGTGGAAAAAAGGATTGCGTTGCCTTGATCTTGGGAAAGGAGGGGGAGGCAGGAGGAGTAAACAGGGGACGAGCAGGACGCGGAAGAAGAGAGGATGTAAGGAGAATGTGGAGAAAGAGGAGGAGGAGGAGCAGGAGGACGAGGAGGGGGAGGAGGGGGAGGAGGGGGAGGAGGAGGACGAGGAGGGTGAGGACGGGGAGGAGGGGGAGGAGGGGGAGGAGGATGATGGACGACAATGGGAGGACGATTATGGAGGCCGATGAGGGGGAGGACGACAATGGGAGGACGATGATGGAAGGACGAGGGGGGGAGAGGGAGGACGAGGAAGAAGAGGAGGAGGAGGAGGTGGAGGAGGAGGATAACGATGACGATGACGATGAGGACGAGGACGAGGACGAGGAAGAGGAGGAGGAGGAGGAGAAGGAGGAGGAGGAGAGCGCCATCGACAGGGAAGGTGGGGGCCACGAGGTCCGCCGGCTCGACGACGCCCGCGTCGCCCGCGCCCGCCCCCTCACTCTTATCCGCAATTGCGGGGTGCTACGTACATGTACAGATACATGTACATGCACATGTACATATACATAGATGCATGTACATATACATTACAGATACAGGTACATCTACAAATAAATAAGTATATGGATTCATCCGTTTCCTTCGCCGATGTCCCTTCCCCTTCTCCAATCAGCCATACTCCCCCCTCATTTATTCTAATCGTCCTCCTGTTCACTGTTACCCCTACACACTCCCGTCTCACGTCGTGATATGATCTGTCTATCCCTCCCTCCTTCCACCCTCACACCCCTATGCCTGCACACTGGTTCTTCTCTTCCCGTCCAGCTCTCCTCCACTTTTTCCTCTCCTCCCCCCTCCCCCCCACCCTTCGGCATCGGCATCCTTCTCCTCCTCGTCCTCATCCCCCCACACATGCTCCTCATGTTCGTTCCCACCATCATCATCATAATCAGCATCATCATCATCAGCAGCAGCATCATCAGCATCATCACTCATCAAACGAATGTGGTATGAGGGTATCTGTATCGCGTGACGTTACCCGTCAAGTCTTCAACACGACGCCTCCCGTCCACAACGCAGTGCTCACCAAGCCCTCCTCAGCAGAACGCTCGAGACACCATCGTAGACATCAAGAGGAAAATGGGAGGAAGGAAAGGATGGGCGGGGAACAGTCAGGGCGGGTCAGGCAAGAAGAAGGATGTGGGGGTTCAGATATAGGAGGCATGGTTCAAGAGCTAGGTGGTAGGAGGGCGAGGGAGGAGAAGGGAGGAAGGAGGGGATGAGGAAGCTGAAGCAGCGGGAAGGAGGAAGGAGACAAAGGGGGGGTGAGGGAGGAGGAGGAGGAGGATGAGGAGGAGGAGGAGGAGGGGAAGGGGCGTTGGAGGATGATGGAGGACAAGCATCAGGGGGAGGAAGGGGAGAGGGGCGAGGGCATCTCGCGCCGTTGCGATGGAGGCCCCGGTCTCAGCCTCGCGCCGCCCGGCCCCGCGCCGCCCTGGCACCGCCGCGGCTCGCACCGAGGGCGCACCGCACCGGTCGGCCCCGTGGCGCCCTCGCACCGCCGAGGGCGCACCCGCCCGCACCCGTCCGCCGCCGCCGCCCTCGTCACCACCGCCGCGGCCACCGCCGTCGCCCTCGTCACCGTCGCCCGGCCCCAGGCAGGCGCATCCGCCTACACCCAGCCTGGGCCCAAGGCAGGCCTGGCCAGGACCGCCGCCGCGCTCGTCGCCACCGCCGCGGCCGTCGCCGTCACCATCTGAGCGACAAAGAGAAGCGGGTCTTACGCGAGATGGCATAGCGACCTTACACGGTGGTTTGGGCCGCCAACGCGGCACTCTCCACTGGAAACGAAGGCACCTACGCGCAACCTTACGCGGACACCTCACGCGCAAATGTCGGTGAAAGCGACCCCGATTTCTTCTGTCGCCCATCTGGCTCTAAATTCGACTGGCCTTCGACGCGTCGGACGAGCACCCTCAGCGTCAGGCTGTTCGACGCACTGCGCGCGTCTGCGACAAACAGGGTGGCCTCGCCGATTTGCCCGTCGGCCTGGGGGGGCGCGGGAACGAGAGAGGAGTGGTGCGCTTGGCAACGGTGGGCCTCATCCTCCTTCTCGTCTGCACACGTCAACACATGCGGCCACATCCTCATCGCAGTAATCGCCCGCCGTGCACCTATGTCCACATCCTCCTCCCTCAGCCTCATCCTGATTATCCTCCCCCCCGGCACTGGTGGCACTAGATCCGATGTCGCCTCCTCTTCATCCTCATCCTCATCCTCCTCCTCCTCCTCCTCCTCCTCCTCCTCCTCCTCCTCCTCCTCCTCCTCCTCATCATCATCATCATCATCATCATCATCATCATCATCATCATCATCATCATCATCTCATCATCATCATCATCATCATCATCATCATCATCATCATCATCATCATCAGCATCATCATCATCATCATCATCATCATCATCATCATCACCATCACCACACCCACCACCACCACCACCAACACCACCATCATCATCAACATCATCATCATCATCATCATCATCATCATCATCATCATCATCATCATCATCATCATCATCATCATCATCATCATCATTCATCATCATCATCATCATCATCATCATCATCATCATCATCATCATCATCATCATCATCATCATCATCATCACCATCACCATCATCATCATCATCAGCATCAGCAGCATTATCATCCTCATCATCACCATCATCAATTCATCGTCATCGTCATCAGAATCATCATCATCGTCATCAGAATCATCAGCATAAGCATCAGCATCAGCATCGTCATCAGCATCGTCGTCATCATCGTCATCATCATCAACATCAGCATCATAAGCATCATCATCAGCAGCATCAGCATCGTCATCGTCGTCATGCTGGTTACTGTAACTAGTTGATTGTTCTCCTTCTTGCTGGTTACTGTAACTAGTTGATTGACCGCGCGAGGGGGGGGGAGGCCCAAACCGGCTTTTTAGCGTCCCCTGGGCGCGTTGTCTGAATTGCTGGGGGGGCTCGAAATCGCCACCCCTCACGCAGATCCGCGGGGTCAGGGTCCAAAAACACATGGGATTTGCCACATTTCTGAAATTCGGTGCCACCCCTCACGCAGATCCGCGGGGTCAGGGTCCAAAAACACAGGGGATTTGCCACATTTCTGAAATTCGGTGCCACCCCTCACGCAGATCCGCGGGGTCAGGGTCCAAAAACACAGGGGATTTGCCACATTTCTGAAATTCGGTGCCACCCCTCACGCAGATCCGCGGGGTCAGGGTCCAAAAACACATGGGATTTGCCACATTTCTGAAATTCGGTGCCACCCCTCACGCAGATCCGCGGGGTCAGGGTCCAAAAACACAGGGATTTGCCACATTTCTGAAATTCGGTGCCACCCCTCACGCAGATCCGCGGGGTCAGGGTCCAAAAACACAAGGGATTTGCTACATTTCTGAAATTCGGTGCCACCCCTCACGCAGATCCGCGGGGTCAGGGTCCAAAAACACAGGGGATTTGCCACATTTCTGAAATTCGGTGCCACCCTTCACGCACATCCATCGCAAGGCGTGGTAACCCAAACTGCGAGAACTCCCTCGGCCCTTTAATCGCAAGGTGTGGTAACCAAGCCCGTAAACCATACACGTCTTACCAATCGCCAGGTGTGGTAACCCCTCTTGTGATCAGTTGGTTTTGCTGATTGCGAATCGGCTTCGCATGAAGTTTCGATACTGCTTCACGACAGCGCCAAGGCCTCATGACTTAGCTCTTCCATGGCCCATTCTCCGAGAGAGGGGGCCGGCGGCAGGGGGCGAAACCCTTACGGATTATTAAGTGATTGTTGGTATTCGTCAAAAACTACTGTTCACATTAGGCGTATGTTGATTACGTGTCTCACTCGCATGATTATTACTCGTCAGATTTAAAAATACTCTTAGTCGTTGAACTATTGTTATAAATAGTACTAACACTACTATTACTCGTACTCGTCTTCTCCATCGAAAACTTGTTCATCTTAATACGCTACAAAGTATCACTCTTCGTCGTCATTTCTTCTTATTAAGATTCGTCATATTATTGTCAATCCTAGTATTGTTGCCAGTGCTTCTATTACTTGTCGTCGTCGTCATCGTCATCATCCCCTCCCCACCAGGACCCCGCAGAGTTTCGGCCCGCGCAGTGGGCGAGGTAGCAAATGCTGGCGACCCCGCCGCCGCGCCGAATTCGCCACACCATAAAATTAGGAGCAACGATCGTGGGGACCAGCCCAGGGGGGGAAACATCGACCTAGAATCGGCGGAACATCGCCGATAGGTCGGCGATGGGGCCCCGATGGCGAATCCACACGTTCCTGGGCGGGGTGGGGCTATCAGAACCCCATCGGCGATCAATGTGCGATTTGGGGTCGATGCATGCCCCCTGAACCTATCCCCCCCTATCGTAAGCCCTGAAGAAACTCTCACGCCGGACTCCGCCCGCGGCCAAGGACGGCGTCGAGAACACTGTCGACCTCCAGGAAGTGCGTCGGCGACCGCTGAAGTGATGGCTTTTTTTGGCGGGTGGAACTGGTGAGGGTGCAGGCGCTGTCGGTCTTGTGTCGCGTCTGCCGTCTGTCGTGCAGGGCGCGGTCGCGCAGCGGAGGTCCTGCGGTCGCGGCGCTGGTCGCTGCTCGTGCGCGACACTGCGCCCGGCGAGGCCGAAGCCCGGCCGCAGGAGCGGCGCGCGGCGTGCGCCGCCGCGCGGCAGCGCTGGGCGGCGGCAGGCAGCCCCTGCGGGCCCAGACCACGGGCAGTGACGGCCCGGACCAGGCAAGCCGCCAGCACCGCGCCAAGAAAAAAAACAACAAATACCTGCTCCTCCTCCTCCTCCTGTCCTCCTCCTCCTCCTCCTCCTCCTCCTCATCCTCCTCCTCCTCCTCCTCCTCCTCCTCCTCCTCCTCCTCCTCCTCATCCCTTTCCTCATCCTCATTCCTCCTCCTCCTGCTCCTGCTGCTGCTCCTCCTCCTCCTCCTGCTCCTCCAACTTCTCCTCCTGCTCCTCCTCCTCCTCCTCTTCCTCCTCCTCCTCCTCATCCTCGTCCTCATCCTCCTCCTCACAACCACCACCACAACCAGCACCACCATAACCACCACCACCACCAGCACCACCATCACCATCACCATCACCATCACCATCACCATCACCATCACCATCACCATCACCATCATCATCATCATCATCATCATCATCATCATCATCATCATCATCATCATCATCATCATCATCATCATCATCATCATCGTCCTCATCGTCGTCGTCATCAGTATCATCATCGTCATCATCATGATCATCATCACCAGCAGCATCAGCAACATCATCATCATCATCATCATCATCATCATCATCATCATCATCATCATCATCATCATCATCATACTCATCATAATCATCATCAGCATCATCAGCATCATCAGCATCAGCATCATCATCAGCATCATCAGCAGCAGCATCATCAGCATCAGCATCAGCATCCTCATCAGCATCATCATCAGCATCATCACCATCATCATCATCATCAGAATTCGCCGGCCCAACGGGCCAGGGCGTGCTAAGATCTCCGGTAACTGGTTAACAGTATTAACAGTATTTCTAGTTCGCGCGCGCGGGGCGGCCCCTGGGGGTCCCCCGGCGAAAAGTACCCCGACCAACGCCCGGTCGCCGCCCGACCGCCGCCCGACCACCAGTCTACTCAGAGATGGTTTTCCTTCTGGGTGCGGCCTCTCAGGCTCCCCAGAGCGCGCTCAGAGTGCCCCAAGAGGCCCCCAAGACTGCCCAAGAGGCCCCCGAGACGCCCAAAGAGCGCTCGAAGACGCCGAAGATGACCCCAAGACGGCCCAAAAGGCCCCCAAGACAGCCCAAGAGGCCTCCAAGACGCCCCAAGAGCCTTCCAAGAGGCCTCCGAAGAGAGCCCCAAGAGGCCAAAATCGTTGATTTTCATTGGTTTTTTCGATGTTTTTTGTGTTCTGGCTTTTTCGGCTTCCGGACGCTCCAAGACGGCCCAAGAGGCCCCCAAGACCGCTCCAAGACGGCCCACGAAGCTCCCAAGACGGCGCCGAAACGACCCAAGAGAGCCCTCAAGACGGCCCAAGTGCCGCCCAAGACGGACCAAGAGGCCCCAAGACGGGCCCAAGAGGGACTCAGGAGGGATACCGAGAACTCAAAAATGGAGCCCTCCGTCCCAGAAGGCGCCCAGGAGGTCCCAAAGAGGCCCCAAGAGGCCTCCAAGAGGCCCCAAGATGTCGCCAAGAGGCCCCAGGAGACTCCCAGGAGGCCCAAAAGAAGCCCCAGAAGGCTTCAAACATGTCTCCCAGGCGCCCCCGAACGGCCTCTCAACAGACCCCAAGAGGCCCCCCAAAGAAGCATCTTGACGACGACTCTATTTCGCCCCATCGAGAGACGACCCCCAGGGAACTGCTTCACCATCAAAACTCCCCACGCAACGCGTCCGAACGACACCCGCCCCCAAGAGCGCAACATGGGCAACGAACACACAGACAAAAACCAGCGATGCCATATCACGGGCCGGCGGAATGAGCGAAGCGATTCAATAATCAGCAGCACCAGCATCATCAGCAGCTCCATTATCATCATCAACAGCAGCATCATGATCATCAGAATCAGCATGAGCATAATCAGCATCATCATAATCATCATCATCATCATCATCATCATCATCATCATCATCATCATCACAATCACCTTCATCATCAGCATCAGCATCATCATCATCATCGGCAACATCATCATCATCACCATCAGCAGCAGCATCATCGTCATCATCATCGACAGCATCATCAGCATCATCAGCATCAGCATCATCATCACTAGCAGAATCGGCATCAGCACCAGCATTACCATCATCATCATCAGAAGCATCATCAGCAGCATCATTATCATCATAAACAGCATCATCACCATCATCATCATAATCAGCATCGTCAGCATCATCGTCATCATCATACTGGTCATCCCCATACTAGTCAGCATCTCCAGCATCATCATCAGCAGCATCATCATTAACATCGTCATTAGCACCATCATCATCATCACCATCAACAGCATCAGCATCAACATCAGCATCAGTGCCATCAACATCAGCATCGCCAACATTACCATGATCATCACCATCAGCAACAACATCATCATCGACATCATCATCATCATCATCATCATCATCATCATCATCGTCAGCTTCATCATCATCGTCAGCTTCATCATCGTCATCATCATACTCATCAGAAGTATCATCAGCAGCATCGACATCATCACCAGTATCATCGTCATCATCATCATCAGCAGCAGCATAGTCATGATCGTGATCATCATCATCATCAGAAGGAGCATCATCATCATCGTCAGCATCATCATCAGCTCATCATCAGCATCATCATCATGCTCATCATCAGCATCAGCATCTACTGGTCATCCCCATCCTCATCGGAATCACCATCATCATCATCAGAATCAGCTTCATCATCATCATTATCGTCATCATCATCATCATCATCATCATCAGCCTCACCATCTCCATCAACAGCAAGAGAATCAGCACCAGCAGCAGTATCCATCATCATAATCATCAGAAACATCATCAGCATCATAATCAGCATCGTCTTCATCACCATCACCATCATCAGCAGCAGCATTATCGCCAGCATCAGCATCACCACCAGCAACAATAACAGCAACAACCTCATCGTCATCGCATCATCATCATCGCAATCATCATCATCAGCAACAACAGCAACTTCATCATCATTATCAGCATCATCATCACAATCACCATCCTCATCATCATCAGCAGCATCGGCATCAGAAGCGGCAAAATCATCAGCAGTAGCAGCATCATCCACCTCATCATTAGAATCCTCAGCAGCAGCATCAGCATCATCATAACCATGAGCATCATCAGCATCAGCATCATCATCATCCTGGTCATCCCCATCATCATCATCATCATCACCAGCACCATCATCATCATGATCAGCATCATCATAATAAGCATCATCAGCATAACAGTCATCATCCACAGCATCATCCTCAGGTTTCTCATAACCACAACCAAACAGAATCAGCATCAGCATAAGCATCAGCACCATCAACATCAGCATCACCATCACCGTCCCCATCATGAGCATCAACGACATCATCATATCAAAAGCGTCCTCATCAGCAACAACAACAACACCATCGTCATCACCATCAGCATAATCATCAGCATCGTGCTAAGCATCATCCTCATTATCAGTATCCTCATCATCATCCTCATCGGCATCATCATCAGCAGCATCGACACATCAGTTCCAGCATCATTATCAGCAGCAGCAGCATCATCCTCATCGTCAGCATCAGCAACATCATCATCAACATCATTATCGTCAGCATCAGCATCAGCATCAGCATCATCAGCATCATCATCAGCATCATCATCCTCATCATCCTCATCAGCATCACCAGCATCATCACCGTCATCATCGTCGCCATCATCATCAGCATCATCATTATCAGCAACAGCAACAAACGTCAGCATCAGCATCAGCACCAGTATCATCGCATCAGCATCAGCATCATCATCATCAGCATCAGCATCAGCATCAGTATCATCGACATACTCATCACCATCACCATCATCAGCATCAGTATCAACAGCATCAGCGTCATCATCAGCAACAACATCATCATCGTCAGCATCATCATCAGCGTCATCATCATCATCATCATCATCATCATCATCATAATAAACGTCCCCATCCTCCACCCTCGTCTACCCTTTCTCCCTAATCGCCATCATTGTCCGCCTCGGCCTCCTCATCGTCCTTCTCCTCCTCCTCCTCGTCCTCCTCCTCCTCATCATCATCAGCATCAGCATCAGCATCAGCATCATCATCACCACTACCATCGCCATCATCCACAGCATCATCATCATCATCATCGTCACCATCCTCATCGACATCAGAATCACCATCATCATCATCATCAGCATCATCATCCTCATCATCATTATCAGCATTATCAGCAGCATCGGCATCAGCACCAGCGTCATCATCATCATCATCAGCATCATCATCATCATCAGCAACAGCAGAGTCATCATCATCGTCATCAGCAGCATCATCATCAGCAGTAGCAGCAATATCAGCATCATCATCATCATCATCAGCATCATCATCAGCATCATCATCAGCATCAGCATCATCATACTGGTCATCCCCATCCTCATAAGCATCATCATCACCAGCATCACCATAATCGTCTTCAGCATCATCATTACAATCATCAACATCATCAGCATCATCACCATCAACAGCATCAGCATCAGTATTATCAACATCATCATCACCATCACCAGCATCATCATTAACATCGTCATCATCATCAGCGTCAGCATCAGCAACAACAACATCATCGTCATCGTCATCCTCATCAGCAGCAGAAGCATCATCATCATCATCGTCATAATCAAAAGCATCAGCGTCAGTTTCATCAACATCAACATCATCATCATCATTATCATCATCACCATCACCTTCACCATCACCATGATCAGCATCATCAACATCATCATGGTCCTTAGCACCATCATCAGCATCATCAACATCATCATCACCATCCTCGTCGTCAACAACAACAGCACATCGTCATCATCATGATCATCATCATCATCATCATCATCATCATCATCTTCATCATCATCTGCAACATCATCATCATCATCATCATCATCTGCAGCAGCATCATCAGCAGCATCATCATCATCAGCATCATCGTCATCATCATCATCATCATCATCATCATCATCATCATCATCATCATCATCATCATCATCATCATCATCATCATCGTCAGCATCATCATCATCACCATCATCATCATCATCACCATCACCACCACCACCACCACCATCATCATCATCATCATCACCTCCTCCTCCTCCTCTGCCGCTGCCGCCGCCGCCTTCGCCTCCCTCCCGCACTCGGGGCGGGCTCGCGCAAGAAGCCTGCACCACGCCGCCCTCGGACACGGAGAGGCAGCCCGCGGGCCGCACGTCCCTGGGGGCGGGGAAGCGGGGAGAGGAGAAGGGAGGGGAAGGGAAGGGGGAGGAGAGGGGGGAAGGGGGGGGGAAGGGGGGGAGGGAGGAAGGGGGGAGTGGGGGAGGGGAAGGGAAGGGAGGAAGAGAGGGGGGAAGGGAAGCGTGGAGAGAAGGGGGGACAGAGGAGGAGAGAAGGAACCGAATCGAAAAATGCGTCGGATCCGGCCGCATCGGCAAATAGTCGGAATCGAGCCCGATTGACCGCGCTCACTGGCACAACAACGCCCTTGCAAGAATCGGAGCGCCAGGGTTCACCGGGATATCGGAATCGAATCGGATCGGGCTCGCCGAATACGTAATCGAATCGGATCGGCCAGATCGGCACGGACCCCGAGGGAGGGGGAGCAGGAGAGGGGAGATAGGACAAGAATTGGTCAGGCTTCGAATTGCGCACAGGCAGCTCCTCCAGGTGGTCCCAGCGGCCATGTTGAGGCCAGCTAGGGCTACCTTGGGAAGGGGGGGGGGCAGGTCTGTGCGCAACCCGAACCGTCTCCAGGTCTCCACGGGGGAAGAAGAGGGGGTTAACAGGGAGGGGCCACACTTCCTCTCGCAATGAAAGGAATCTCGACGGGAGGCTGTTGGCAAATTCATACCTCTGGGGGCCCTCGCCGGGCCCCGGGGCCGTCAAAAAACGACTCCGAATAGACCAGCTCCTGGGAGTGAGGGAAGGGGGGAGCGGGGAGAGAAGAGGGGAGGGCAGGGGGAAGGGGGGTTAGGAGGTAATCCCTGGGAGCTCTTCGTAGGAACGACGAAGGGCTAGCAACCCGCAGCAATTTACCCTTCTTAGCCTTGACTAAGCCCAGGATTAAGCCCGACTGGGCCAGATTCGGCGGGACTAAAAGGAACCACGTGGGACTATGCCGAATTAGGCCGAGTTCTAAAGATTGCATACCCATGCCGATGCTGAATGTGACCTCCGAGAAGTTGCATTCGAAGGGAAGGGTCCTGGAGTGTCCTGGGCGGCAGTGCACACGTGGCCTAAGAAGCTGCAGGGCACATGGCACCATCCGACGCGCGTGATCGAGCCGAATGCAACGGCAGCCACCAAAACGGGGGCCGCTGGACAGGTGTAGCCTGGGAATCAACCCCGCCGAATTCTCTGGAGACTAACCCAGTCCCACGGAGAATAATCCCACAGGGATAAGAAAGTTTTGGGTCGAGGGGGATTATAAACGTTGCCTACCGGAGGCCAGCATGTGGGAGGAGAAAGAGATGATGTTAAGAGGACCGAAAGCCGAGGATCGAGGATCGAGAATCGAAGTCCGAGGATCGAGGATCGAGATCCCAGAGTCGAGGATCGAGGTCCGAAGATCGACAGCGGCGAGGTCCGAGGATCGAGGATCGTTTTGTTTCCCTTGAGACATCCTTGCTCGTGTAGGGTAGCTCATGTGCCTCAGAGTCCGTGGACAGTAAACCACAGCGATAAAAAAGTTCAGGGTGCCAGGGGGAGAAGGAGGAAGGCAGAGAGAGAGACAGAGACATAAAGATACAGATAGTTAGAGAGAGAGACATATAGTTCGAGAGAGAGAGAGAAGTAGAGAAAGATAGACAGACAGGAAAGAGGTGGAGGAGGAGGAGGAGAAACGCCAAAGTTCCAAACCTATTAAATTTAATTTGTAAACAAAACAATGGAAATTAAGATTTGCATCTGCTCGTGTAGGGTAGCTCACGTGCCTCGGTTTTCGTGGATAGTAAATCACAGCGATAAAAAAAGTTCAGGGGGGAGGAAAGGGAAAGAGAAAGAGAAGAGCAGACAAAAGAGAGAGAGAGAGATAAAGAGAACACTGTTGGTTTCGCTTGAGACATCCTCGACAACGTCTTGGCGTCGTTTGATGTTGCTATCTCAAAATACGAAGGAAGTGAACCTCGATGGTGAACTTTTCACAGTGGTAAAAAAGTTCGGCCACCGCGCCCCGCGCCCCTGACCAAACTCTTCTTGGCCGTGGATAATCAACTCTAGCCTGGAAAGGGGGGGTCCTTTTTTATCATCGGCACGGGGTTATCCAGCCCCTTATTGGAACGTTCGGTGCACTCCTGAATTAATGGCCTGGGGACCACGGTGACCGCTCGGCCACACAGGGAGCAGAAGTAGAGTGAATGCGCAGGCCAGAAACTTAAGCAATGACTCTGATGAAGTTCAAACCCCCCAACCGTCACCACCCCACTCGCCCCCACGATCCCATTACCAAACGCCTCCTGCGCCGAGCCGACATCAACGGCGGGGCAGGGCTGGTCACAAGCCTACAGCACATTAGCCGAAGGAAAATGCCCGAACAAAGCGAGCAAATCCACTTACGGCCAGCTTGAATTAAGCAGTGCGTGCTGCGAGAGAGAGAGAGAGAGATAGAGAGAGAGAGAGCAGCTTTAAGTTTGGTGGTTTTCAGGTGGCGACTTGGGCCTCTGCGCGGCCCAGGGGGCCACACGGATGGATTCCGCCAACGCCTGGACGGCCCGCTGGCGGATCAAAAAACAGGTGGCATCCCAACGGTCAGTGTCGCGCACTCGCTGACCCATGGTTGCGTCGTCCCAAGACTTCTGCGTCGTCCCAACCAGGATGAGGAGGAGGAGGAGGAGGAGGAGGAGAAGGAGGAGGAGGAGGAGGGGGAGGAGGGGGAGGAGGAGGAGGAGGAGGAGGAGGAGGAGGAGGAGAGAGGAGGACGACGACGTGGAGGACGAGGAGGGGGGGCGCGGGGTGAGGAGGGGAGTAGAAGCAGGCGCTCCCCCTGCCGCGCTGCCGCTCTCTTCGCCCCGCGGGAGGGTCGAAGCCCGCGCCGGCAGCTGGAGCCCGACGGGAGCAGGCAGGACGGCGCTGCTGAGGCTCCGATCGGCCTTCTGTGGGCCACGCTTGGGCTCGAGGGCCTAATTCGGCAAAGCGGCAGCGCATGCACGTCGTCACCGATGGGCGGAGCAAAGAGAGGGATGTGGAAAAGGCAGGAGGGGGGAGGGGGAGGGGGAGGGGGAGGAGAAGGAGGAGGAGAAGGAGGAGGAGGAGGAGGAGGGGAAGGCGAAAGGGAGGAAGCGGGGTGAGGACCACGAGAAGGACGACGGCGGCGTTGACGATGGCGGCGCAGCAGCACCGATGTCATTCCTACCTCCCCAAGACACGCACACCGACCGCCGACCGACTGACGGCACGATCTGCACTTGAATGCCGCATCCCGGCGAATCGGAACGAGAAGAAGCGAAGACGAGAAGCTGGGACGGGCCCCAGGAGGCAGAAACCGGCCAGAGACGTCCGTCACTTTTTGTCCTACCACGCGAAGACTCTGGGCCCCGAACCCCCCGCCCGTGGATCTGGCGCGCGGGCGCCAGATCCTTGGATCGGAGAAGGCACCCCCAACGTATGAGGCCAATGCCGCCTAATTCGGCGACAACGCGCGCCGATTCAGCATCGAACCGGGAGCCGTCGCTAATCCACGCACATTGACCCACGCTAGCGTTCCCTCGACTTCCGCACCCATCCCCATCCCCGCCCCCCCCCCTTGCTGCCCCACCGCCGCCCCGCCGCCGCCCCGTCGCCGCCCCGCTCCCTCCGCTGCCGCTCACATCCCCCCCTCGCAGCGAGCCAAGGCGAGCAGCGTAGGTTACCCCAGGTATGGAAAGGGAGGCGGAAGAGGAGCGAGACACGAGGGAGGAGGAGGAGGAGCAGCAGCAGCAGCAGGAGGAGCAGTAGGATGGAAGAGGTAGGAGACGGAAAAAAAGATGAGAACAGGAGGCAGAGAGGCAGGAGGAGGAGCATGGAGGACGGATGATGGCAGATGGAGGGCGGAAGATGAACGACGAACGAAACTCACGACGACCGTGGCCATGGCTGCCCCGTCCCCGACCCAAAGGGGTGCCTCAGCGCGAAGGAGTACGACCCGCTGCCGCCGCCCACCTGCAGCCTGAAGGAGTGCCTCGGACCAGGACCCGCTGCTGCTGCTGCCGCCGCCGCCGCCGCCGCCGCGGCGGCTGCTGCTGCTGCTGCTGCTGCTGCTGCTGGTCCCCATCCTCCACCCTCGTCCACCCTTTCTCCCTAATCGCCATCATTGTCCGCCTCGTCCTCATTATCCTTATCCTCCTCCTCCTCCTCCTCCTCCTCCTCCTCCTCCTCCTCCTCCTCCTCATCATCATCATCATCATCATCATCATCATCATCATCATCATCATCATCATCATCATCATCAGCATCATCATCATCATCATCATCATCATCATCATCATCATCATCATCATCATCATCATCATCATCATCATCATCATCATCATCATCATCATCATCATCATCATCATTATTATCATCACCACCACCACCACCACCATCATCACAATCATCATCATCATCAGCAGCATCATCATCATCATCATCATCGTCAGCAGCATCATCATCACCATCAGTATCAGCATCAGCATCATCATCATCATCATCATCATCAACAGCATCATCATCATCAACGACATCAGCATCATCATCATTATTATCATCATCATCATCAGTATCATCATCATCATCATCAGCATCGTCGGCGTCATCGTCATCATCATCAGCATCATCATCATCATAATCATCAACAGCATCATCAGCAGCAGCATCGTCGTCATCATCAGAGTCATCATCAAAATCATCACCATCAGCATCAGCAGCAGCATCATCGTGGGCATCCTCATCAACATCATCAGCATCTTCATCTGCATCATCAGCATCACCATCATCAGCATCAGCCGCATCATCATAATCAGCATCATAATCAGCAGCATCATCTGTATCAGTATCATCAACAGCGTCGTCATCAGTAGCATCAGCAGTATCATCAGCATGATCAGCGCCATCATCAGCATCGTCATCATCATCACCCTCATCACCACCATCAGCATCGGCAATATCATCATCACCACCATCGCATCATCAGTATCAGCATCCGCGTCATCATCAGCAGCAGCAGCGTCAGCATCATCAACATCAGCATCGGCAGCAGCACCAGCATCATCGTCATCATCATCGTCATCATCAGGAGCATCATCATCATCAGCATCATCACCAGCATCAGCAGCAGCAGCATCAGCATCAGCATCAGCCTCCTTATCATCATCAGAATCAGCATCGCATCATCAGCATCCTCATCATCGTCATCTTCAGCATCAGCATTATCATCATCACCAGCATCGGCATCAACATCAGCATCCGCATCCGCATCAGCAACAGCTTTTGTTTCAGCATATGCATCATCGTCATCAGCATCATCAGCATCGTCATCATCATCATCGTCATCACCACCACAACCAGCAGCATCACCAGCTCAGCATCATCAGCATCGTCGTCGTCATCACGACGTCATCAATATCATCATCGTCCTCGTCGTCATCTGCATCATCCGCAACCACGGCAACAACAATAATTACCCCAGTGCGACCCTAACCTAGAAGTTGGAGCCCCTAGGAAAGCAGCATTGGTTGCTATGCTATGCTATGCTATGCTATGAAATGCTATGCTGCGCTATGCTATGCTATGCTATGCTATGCTATGCTATGCTATGCTGCGCTATGCTATGCTATGCTATGCTATGCTATGCTAAGCTAGGCCATGTCATGCTGCGCTGTGCTATGCTAAGCTATGCGATGCTATGCTATGATGTGCTAGCTGCGCTATGCTATGATATGCTATGCTGTGCTATGCTGCGCTATGATATGCTATGATATGATATGCTTGGCTATGCTGTTTTATGTTAGGATATGATATGTTATGCTATACTGCGCTATGCTATGCTATGCTGGGCTATGTTATGATAGGCTGTGCTGCGCTATGCTATGCTACGCTATGATATGCTGTGCTGTGTTCTGCTATGCTAAAGCTCAGCGAAGCTAAGATGAAGGTAAGCTAGCTAAGATAAACCTGAGCTAAGATGAAGCTAAGCTAAGCTAAGATGAAATAAGCTAAGCTAAGATAAGATAAGCAACGCTAAGCTAAGGGGACGTAACTGGGGGAACCGCGGGGCGGATACTGGGGGAACCGCCCGGGGCGAGTTGCACTGCCCGGCCCTTTAAGCATACCGAGTAAGAACCCTTCTAGGCAGAGCCTAGGTAGGGAATTACAATTGCAATTAGTGCATTAGTGCAGCCCCTAAAGCATGGCAGGAAAGGACGGATGGAAGGGGGGGAGAAGGATGAAGCACGTGGGAAATTGGCAGGAGGGGGGCCAGGAGCAGAAAATACGTGACAGGACCAGATGGGCAAATCGGGCGGGCAGACCCTGGCGGGTGGGTCGGGAAGGCGGGCCCAGGCGGCCAGGTCGAGCAAGCGGATTGCTGAAGCGGGAGTCCTGTATGAATCGCGAGGAAGTCTCGAGCGATGGCGCGATTCACAAGTAAATCGTGAGAAAGGCCAAGGCGACACTGTGATTCCTGATTGTCGTGGGCGCGGCGTCCGAATAAATTGCATTGAAGTCCTACGCGAGAGCGAGATTCCTGTGTAAATTGTGAAGAAGTGCTGCCAGAGAGCGCGATGTCGGAATAACTTGTGAGAGGAAAAATCATGCGAGAGCCGCTGCTGTTGTAGCCGGGGTGCCAACAACAAAATTTGAGCAGGGAGACTCTCCCTGATAGAAAAAACAGGGCGCGAGCATTAAGGGGGGTACTTGGACTAAAAAAACACCATGTGCACTCGTGGGGGGATCAACAAAAAATATGATTCAAGAGTGTGAGCTCGAAAACAACAATAACAAGAACGGCAACAACAACGACAACAACAACAGCAGCAACAACAGCAATATTGGAAGACTGCTCGCTCTTACCTGCTCGCGTGCCACTCAAGACGTACATCCCAAACCCTCGATACTCACCCTCTTCGTCTTCGATCGTAGCCCTTAGGGGCATATCTTTCTTACCTGCAACGTGTATTTCGTGCAGCCCCGAAGGCAGGGGAAGAGAGGACGGATGGAAGGAAGGAACAAGGGGCAGGCGGGTTGCTGAAGCGTGCGTCCTGCATGAATCGCGAGAAATCTCGAGTGATAGCGCGATTCCCAAATGAATCGTGAAGAAAACCACAGCGAGACAAGATTCCTGAGTGTCCAGGGCGCGGCGTCTCACAAAAAATGCGAGAAGTCCCACGCAAGAGCTCGATTCCTTTATATAATTCTGAGAAGACCCGCGCGAGAGCGCGACTTGGGAATAGGTCGTGAGGAAGTACCAAGCAGAAACCATTATTACAACCGGGGGCCAGGGGCACAGTTTGGTGACACCTCACTTTCCCTTGTACAGAACAGGGTGCGAGACTCGGGAGAAACACTTTGAATGAAATATGCAATGGTTACCCGAAAAGGGGGATCCACCATATGTTTTTAGAATTGAAAACTGAAGAGCAGAAAACCCAGCAACCACAACCACAACAACTACAACAACAGCGACAACCACGATAACAACAGCAGCAAACACAACAACAACAACAACAACAGCCGCAACAACAACCACGCAAGCGGCAACAGCAATAGCAACAATAGCAAAAAGAATATCAACGAACCACAACAACAATACAACAGCCACAATCAGTTTAAAAATGCTCGCTCTTATCTGCTCGCGTACCATTCCACACGTATATCCCAAAACCTCGATACTGGCCCTCTTCTTCTTATTCAATCGTACCCCCTTCGGGTTGTCTCTTTCTTACCTGCAACGTGCATTTCGTGCAGCCCCTAAGGCAGGGAAACAGAAGATGGATGGAAGGAAGGGACAAGGGGGAGGCGGGCCCAGACGGCCAGGTCGAAAAGGCGGGCGGCTAAAGCGTGCGCCCTGCATGAGTCACGAGGAGGGCGAGAGCGATAGCGCGAGTCTCCAATAAATCCCGAAGACATGCACAACGACAGCGTGATTCCTGAGTGTCCAGGGCGTGGCGTCTGAATAAAGTGGACAGATGTCCCACGCGAACGCGTGATTCCGCCATTACAATATGAAGAAATCCCTCGCGAGAGCGCTGTTTGGGGATCGGAAACTGAGGGGTGTGAACGGAAGCAACCCCAACCGAGAAATCGGTCTCTGTTTCGGTTCGCATCGCGCGAGCGGGCGAGGCGACGCTGCGCGAGGTCCTGCACTGGCAGAAGCCACATGGAACCCAAAGGGTCGCCCCACCCCGGGCGCGCTTCCCGATGGTTGTCCCGCGGGTTGTCCCGATGGATCCCGATGGTTGTCCCGATGGTTGTCCCGATGGTTGTCCCGATGGTTGTCCCGATGGTTCCTCCGATGGTTGTCCCGATGGTGGTCCCGACGGTTGTCCCGATGGTTGTCCCGATAGTTGTCCCGATGGTTGCCCCGATGGTTGCCCCGAAGGTTGTCACGACGGTTGTCCCGATGGTTGTCCCGATGGTTGCCCCGATGGTAGTCCCGACGGTTCCTCCGATAGTTGTCCCGATGGTTGCCCCGATGGTTGCTCCAGCACCGTGCTCAGAGCGCGGTGCTCGACGACGCCGTAGTCTGACGTGGCGAGCCTTTCGCGCGCCTTCCAGCTCTCGCGGCGCTGGATCGGCCCGCCCTCGCGCAGCAACCAGACCAAGTACCAAGGGGCCGAGCGCGACACGAGACTGAACACGGAGAGCCAGCTGCGAGAACCGCCGCTGCCAGGAGTGCGCGCCAGGGCGCGAGGGTCCGCCCCCCGCCGCTTCGCGAAGCAACCAGCCCGGCGCCAGTCCTCCAGGATGAAGGCCACCGCCGAGATCCCCGCTCCGAGCGCGACGACCCCGCGCGCCCCAGCCCGCGCTGCCAGCAAGATGCCCGCGATCGGCCCGACCTGCACCAACGAGCCGAAGGGGAAGGGAGTCGACGTCCTCTGTGAGAACCCAGGCCCAGCCAGCGGCGCCTCACAGTTGGTCCCCAGCGGGGAGCCGCCGTCGTTCTTCCACCCTGGCCCAGGCGGCACTCCCACAGCCGGCGGAGCTCCCACAGCCATGGGCACGCTTGCGGCGGGGGCGGCCAGCGGAGCGGGCGGCAGCGCGGCAGGCGCTGGAGGCCCAGCGGCGGCGCCCGCGGCAGCGGGTGCGGGACTCGCGGCGGCTGGCGCGGCTGCAGCGGCCCCAAGGGCCGCGGCGGCGCCCACCACTGCCAAGCCCGAAGAAAGAGGCCCCGCCCCCGGCAGCAGCCCGCCACTCATGTGGACTAGCGTGCCGCCAGGCGGGACGGGCACTCCAGGGTGACGGCGGCCGAACTCGGCGTCCGCCTCGGCCCCCGCAACGGCCAGCCCGGCGGCCTCGCGGGCAGCCGACGGGTCCCGCACGACCCTGTACGTGGCGTCCGGGGCGATCCCAAGCGGCGACGGCCAAAGAGCAGCAGCGAAGCGCACCGCCGCGATGTCAGGTCCCGCAGCCAACAAGCGCTCCGCATACACCATGTCGTCGGGGGTCACGATGACCACGTCACCCATGAGCGCCAACTGCCCCACCTCCTTCCTCTGGTGGAAGAGCGGCGCGCCGCCCACGTTGCACAAGACCCACGCCCAGGCCTCCGCCATCACCAGTGCCAGCCAGCGCCAGACGTGGAGGAGGGCCGCTCGGTGCCTCCGCGAGCGACACAGCGGCGGCTGTCGCCTGGGCCCGCGCCTCAGCCGTGAAGCGGAGCGGCCCCCAGAGGCGCAGCACCGCAATGGCAGCCAGCGCTCCGAAGGAGGCGCCCGCCAGGCCCGCGGCCACGCAAGCCAGGGTGACCGCGAACGCGGTCGCGCCCACGGCCGCGCAAGGGCAGGGCGGGCTGGCCAGGCACGGGGGGCAGGGCGGGATCTCAGTCGCCGGGCAGCGAATGACCCAAGCCTGCAGCGCCGACACACCCCATCGATCCAGGACCTTCAGCAACCCCTCCGGGAGGCCCAGCCAAGCCATGCACCGCGGCCCGGCCGCGGACTCAGCTCGAGAGCCGAAGGCTACGGAATGCAAGCATTCGGCCTCTTCCCCCCTCTAAAGACATCCAACTTCGAAAGAAAAGACCCGCATCATCATCATCATCATCATCATCATCATCATCATCATCATCATCATCATCATCATCATCATCATCATCATCATCATCATCAGCAGCAGCAGCAGCAGCATCAGCATCAGCATCAGCAGCATCATCATCATCATCATCATCATCATCATCATCACCATCATCATCATCATCACCATCATCATCATCATCATCATCAGCATCATCATCATCATCGGCATCATCATCAGCATCATCATCATCATCACCATCATCATCATCATCATCATCATCGTCATCATCCATCATCATCATCATCATCATCATCATCATCATCATCATCATCATCATCATCATCATTGTCATCGTCATCGTCATCGTCATCATCATCAGCAGCATCATCATCACCATCAGCATCATCATCATCAGCAGCAGCATCAGCATCATCATCATCATCGTCATCATCATCATCAGCATCATCATCATCGTCACCACCATATCATCATCAGCAGCAGCATAATCACCATCATCATAATCATCAGCATCGTCATCCTCATCATCAGCATCATCATCCTCATCAGCATCAGCAGCAGCAGCAGTATCATCATCAGCAGCATCATCAGCATCAGCATCATAATCATCAGCATCATGAGCATCGGCATCATCATCAGCAACAGCAGCATCGGCATCATCATCGTCAGCAGCAGCAGCATCAGCAGCAGCATCAACATCAGCACCATCATCATCATCATCATCATCATCATCATCGTCATCATCCTCATCATCCTCATCATCCTCATCATCATCATCATCATCGTCACCGTCATCGTCATCATCAGCATCGTCATAGTCATCGTCATGTTCATATCATCATCGTCATCGCAACCATCATCGGCGGTATCGTCACCATCATCAGCGGCATCCTCGTATCACCATCATCACCCTCTCCCCTCGTTCCCCCTACTTCAGTCCGCCTCTATGCTTCTTCATCTTCTCCTTTGTCGTAAAGGTCCTCCGTCCTCCTCCATCTTCTCTCAAACAGATTCCTCCCCTCCATCATTATCCATCCCCTCATCCTCCCACAATGATTTCGACTTCGACAACCCAGATGGTGACGATCCCGACGACGAAGTCGACAATGATGACGACAACGACCGCGACCACGACCACCCACAAAGTCGACGACGACGACCACGACGACCCCGACGACGACTTCGACCACAAATCACACGCCGACGACGACGACGACGACGACGACGACGACGACGACGACGACGACGACGACGACCACGCGGCGCCATGGCGGGAGCAGCATCGGGCCCAGGAGGCCCGACAGCAGACGAAGCGGCTCGACGACGACGAACTCCTGCCGCACGCTCAGCGCTGGCCACCTGGCGACGCGGGCGCGCCACTCGCCGCGCGTGCCCGCGCGTCCCTGGCGAAGACTATGCCCCGTGCCACATGCCCCTGCCATTGCCCCCGCCTCCTCCTGCTGCTTCCTCCTCCTCCTCCTCCTGTTGTTGCTTCCTCCTCCTCCTCCTCCTCCTCCTCCTCCTCCTCCTCCTCCTCCTCCTCCGCCTCCTCCGCCTCCTCCTCCTCCTCCTCCTCCTCCTCCTCCTGTTGTTGTTGTTGTTGTTGGTGGTGTTGTTGTTGTTGTTGTTGTTGTTGTTGCTGTTATTGTTGTTGTTAATTGTTGTTGTTGTTGTTGCTGTTGTTGTTGTTGTTGTTGGTGTTGTTGCTGTTGTTGTTGTTGTTGTTGTTGTTGTTGTTGTTGTTGTTGTTGTTGTTGTTGTTGTTGTTGTTGTTGTTGTTGTTGTTGTTGTTGTTGTTGTTGTTGTTGTTGTTGTTGTTGTTGTTGTTGTTGTTGTTGTTGTTGTTGTTGTTGTTGTTGTTGTTGTTGTTGTTGTTGTTGTTGTTGTTGTTGTTGTTGTTGTTGTTGTTGTTGTTGTTGTTGTTGTTGTTGTTGTTGTTTCCTCCTCCTCCTCCTCCTCCTCCTCCTCCTCCTCCTCCTCCTCCTCCTCCTCCTCCTCCTCCTCCTCCAAGCTTCTGTCCGAGGGCCTGGGGGCGGGCAGGCCGCCACAGGCTCCCCTCGGGCGGAGACCACCGCGCTGACCTCGGAGGCGGCGTGGTATCGGCGTTTCCGCCGCGATCGCGCCTTGGCGCGCGCTGCGCTGCGCGCCTGGAGCGGGTCGCCCACCCCTTGCCAGAGGCTGCGCCTGGTGGCCGCGGCCGAGCTGCCGGACGGGCACCACGGCTCCGCCGCGCCGCGCGGTCCGAGGGGCCACGTGGCGGCCCGAGGCGGCGGCGGAGGCCCGCGGCTCGCATGCCAAGCACTGCGGGTGCCGCAAGAGCGAGGCGCAGCGGCAGGGTGAGGCCACTCGGAGTGGCCCTGCTGCTCCTGGCGCTGGCGGGGCTGCTGGTGGCCCGAGGCGCGCCCCGAGCCGCGGTCGCGACCCCCCCCCCTCGCGGGCCGCCGTGGCGCGAGGCCACTGGCGCTGGCGGCTGGCGCTACAACCTCACCATACGTGATCCTGAAGCTTGAGGCCTGCAACCGCGTCAAGGATCCTGAAGCTTGAAATACAGGAGGCCGCAATCACAATACATCCTGCGATGCGACTTGCTCCTCAATCCTTCCATGAATCCACCCATAAATCCATCCACTGGCTCCTCCCCTTTCCTCCGTGTCGTGCCCCACTCCCCCTCGACCTCGTCATACGCAGCCGCCCCCCACTCCACCCCCCTCCCTTCCCCCCTCCCTTTCCGCCTCCTCATCCTCCGCCTCCGCCTCCTCCTCCTCCTCCTCCTCCTCCTCCTCCGCTCCGCCTCCGCCTCCTCCTCCGCCTCCTCCTCCTCCTCCTCCTCCTCCTCCTCCTCCTCCTCCTCCTCCTCCTCCTCCTCCTCCTCCTCCTCCTCCTCCTCCTCCTCCTCCTCCTCCTCCGTCTCGTCGTGATCAGCGGCCTCCTCCTCCCCCCCTTCCATCCGATTTCCTTAAAGATAACTCCTCCCTGTCGCACCCCCAGACGTGTCAGTAAGGCGGGTCGGGCGTTTCGCCTGAGACTTCCTCACCAAGTGTGATCCTGATGCTTGAAAGTGGCAAGGTGATCCTGATCCTCACCAAGTCTGATCCTGATCCCCACCAGTTTCAAGGATGGAGGGCGGGTCGTGTTCAGAATGTGGCTCTCGCCTGAGCGCCGCGCACATTCGTCACAAAAGTCTGCAGGAAATCCATGGATGGAGGGCGGGTCGTTTTCAAGATATGGCTCGCGCTTCAGCGCCTGCGCACAGTCGTTTTCAAAGTGTGCAGGAACTTCACGGATGGAGGGCGGGTCGGTTCCAAAATGTGGCTCTCGCTTCAGCACCCCAGTACGGCCGTCTTAAAAGTGTGCAAGAGCTTCACGGATGAAGTGCGGCTCCTTCTCGTAATATGGGTATCGCCTAAGCGCCACGCACATTCGCCTGTAAAGTTTGCAAGATGTTCGCGGATGGAGGGCGAGTCCTCGTCAAAGCGTGGCTCTCGCCTTAGCGCCCTGCACATTCGCTGTAACAGGTTACAGCAGGTCCCAGAAATGGTGCTTTGGCACGACATAGGATTGTCAAGGCGCGAAAGTAACGCAGATTCGCTGTTTTGACGTCCCAGAAATGGCGTTCTGGTACGATGTGGGATCGTCAGGTCGCAACAGTGACGTTGATTCGCGGCGTTGAAGTTCCAGGAATGGTGTTCTGGCACGGTCGAACATTTTGAGACGGTTGTCTTCCAACGGGGCTCTTCCCGCAGTGAACAGAGATCCTTATAGGAACCTATGAAGAGGGAACTTGGAGGGAGGGTTTATTGCAACATCGTTGATGAGCCTTGGGTTCACACTGGTCCTCCCTCCTGCACCATCCCCCCCTCCACCCCACCCCTCCTCCAGGAGGGGCTCGGCATCTGCAAGGGATGGCGAACCGCTAGCCGCCTCACGGTGTCGAAGCCCCGGACCCGGTCGGCGTCGTCGGCCACGACCTGTGCCTCCGCGACGTGGTAGGAGCCCCTGCCCAGGACCTGCTGTGGCGGGAGGGGAGGGAAGAAGGGAGGGGGAGGTTCAAGGGAGAGAAGGAGGGGGAGGAGGAGGGACGGAGGAAGGGAGGGAATTAGGAGGAGGAGGAGGAGGACTAGGAGGAGGCGGAGGAGGAAAGCGAGGAGAAGGGCCAAGGAGGAGGAGGAGGAGGAGGACGACGACGACGACTGCGAGGAGGAGCAGGAGGGAGCGGGAAGCACCGAAGAAGGCGAAGGAGGAGGCAGATAAGCGCAGGCAAATAGATGGAGTCAGAACCAGCACCATCGCGATCTGGCTACGACGAAGCTTCTTGAAATAGATCTACTCTGAATATCGCTGATTAGGCGTGAAAGATTACTCCTCGTGCAGGGAGCCAGAATGCCCAGGGGCCTACGAATGTGACGGCGTCAATCGCGAATACGGTTTCCGCACCTACGTTGCTGTGCTAGCACACCCAGACATGCCCACAGCACGGTGTGACCGAGGCACCCTGCGACCCTGTGGCACTTCAGCAATTAAGGAGGCCGCGATCACAATACATCCTGCGATCCGACTTGCTCCTCAATCCTTCCATGAATCCGCCCATAAATCCATCCACTGGCTCCTCCCCTTTCCTCTTTGTCGTGCCCCCTTCCACCTCGCCCTCGTCACACGCAGCCGACCCCCACTCCATCCCCCTCCCTTGCACCCTACCTTCCGCCTCCTCCTCCTCCGCCTCCTCCTCCTCCTCCTCCATCTCGTCGTGGTCATCGGCCTCCTCCTCCCCCTCTTCCATCCGATTTCCTTAAAGTAACTCCTCCCTGTCTCACCCTCAGACGTGTCAGTAGGGCGGGCCGGGCGTTTCGCCTGAGACTTCCACGCCAAGTGTGATCCTGATGCTCGAAAGTGGCACCAGTTTCAAGAATGGAGGGCGGGTCGTTTTCAAAATGTGGCTCTCGCCTGAGCGCCGCGCACATTCGTCTCAAAAGTTTGCAAATTGCACACGGATGGAAAGCGGCCCGCTTTCAAAGTGTGGCTCTCGCTTGAGCGCCGCGCATAGTCGCCTTAAACTTTTGCAGGAATTTCACGGATGGAGGGCGGTCCGCTTTCACAGTGTGGCCATCGCTTGGGCGCCGCGCACATTCGCCTTAACAATGTGCACCAGCTTCGAGGATGGAGCGTGGTCCTTTTTCAAAAGGTGGCTATCGCTTTAGCGCCGCGGCCATTCACATTAAAAGTAAGTTTGCGGCAGCTTCAAGGGATCGCATGACTGAAGTACCAGGGATTGGCTGTTCTGGTAAGATTTAGGACTGCCAGGACGCAATAGCCACGTTGATTCGAGGCGTCGAAGTCCCAAGAATTGTGTTTCGGTGCGGTTGAGGATTCTCACACGGATGTCTTCCAATGGGGCATTTCACCCAATGGAAACAACTTGCTGTACGGAACTATGAAGGGCTTACTACAATATCGTAGATGCGTCTTGCGTTTACACTGGTCCTCTCCTCCCCCTTTTTACCCTTCTCCTCCCTATCCTCCCCCTCTTGGCCTAATACTCCTCGTCCTAATCCTCCTCCTCCTCATCATCATCCGCCTCCTCATCATCAGCATCATCATCAGCATTAGCATCAGCATCAGCGTCAGCATCAGCATCAGCATCATGACCACAACCACCAGCATCATCAGCAGCAGCAGCATCATCAGCAGCATTATCATCGTCATCATGATCATCAGCAGCAGCAGCATCAGCGTCATCATCATCATCATCATCATCAGCATCATCATCAGCATCATCATCATTATCTGACTCATCATCATCATCATCATCATCATCATCATCATCAGCAGCATCATCATCATCAGCAGCAGCATCATCAGCATCAGCATCAGCATCATCACCATCATTCCATAGATTCCCCATTCTCCAACTTCACACCCTCCCTCTCACTCTTCCCACCTTCCCCCTCCCCCTCCTCCCTCATCCCCCTCCCCCATCTTCCTTCCCCTCCTACTCCTCCTCCCCGTCCACCCACCTCCGTCCCCTGCCCCATTCGCTCCCCAACCATCCTGTTTCCTTATAAATAGCTCCTCCCTGCCGCAGCCCCAGACGCGTCGATAGTGTGGGCCGGGAGTTCCGCCTGAGGACATGTCGGCTTAAAAATGTGGCTGTCGCCTGAGCGCCGCATACCTTGGTCTTGAAAGCATGCAAGAATGACGATGATGGAGCAAAGGTTGTTTTCAAAAAATGGCACTCACCCTAGCACCGCGCACATTCGTCTTGAATATCAAAAGCTTCAAGCGGTTACACGGATGGAGGGCGACTCAAATTTCATTGTGGTTCTCGCCGAAGCGCCGCAGATTTCCGCCTTCTAATGTTACAAAAATTACGGGAATAGGGGGACGGCTTCTTCTGAAAATGGGCACGTCGCTGGCAAGTTCCGCCAACTAAGGATGGGGCGCTCCAGCACCCCCCCGGCGAAGGCTTGGGGGCTCCGGGTTCACCCGGCTAATGCCCTTCTGGCTGAGGCTTGGGGGATTCTGGGGCCCGTCCGGCCAAACCCAGGGGACTCCAGGGGGGGCCCGTCCAGCTAAGGTTGGGGGCCTCCGGCAAGTCCTGCTGAGCTCCTTTATGTCTTTCCAATTTCCCCCGCGTCAAAAGAGCCTTCCCACGCCCCACTGAACTCATCCATGCCATTCCTGACTCCCCCGTGCCTTTTTGAACTTCCCTATGGTCGCCAAACCTCCCCCGCGCGCACGCCACATTCGCCGCGCCCGCGCCACCTGCTACACCCGACGCGCCGTCCACCATCTTCGCTATCACAAGCCAACTTCCCTCATGTCCTTCCACACCTCGTTTGCGTTTTTGGCCTCAGCATGGCTTAATGGGATTTGGATCTCATCAAAATATCGCTGGACGCCTCATTCGCAAAAAAATGCAATGCGGTTTCTTTTCAAAATGGGACTCTCGCCGGAATGGCAGGCCGACAAGGAACTGACCGCTCAAGAGGGGAACTTGTGGTGACAATCAAGCCTGCACAGGCTTATGGAAAGAAAACTTGGGACGGAAGGATGTATTGCAGCCTCGATGGCGCATCTGAGGGTTACTCTGGTCTTCCTGCCCTCCTCACACTGCGCCCCCTGCCTCCCTCCCCTACCCCTGCCTCTGCCTCTCCCCCTCCCCATCCCACATCATCCCCCTCCCCTTCACCCTGCCCCACCTTTCGCCTCCTCCTCCTCCTCCTGCTCCTCCTCCTCCTGCTCATCATCATCATCATCATCATCATCATCATCATCATCATCATCATCATCATCATCATCATCATCATCATCATCATCATCATCATCATCATC